AAGACTGCATTTAGTTATGCCATTCGGGCTTAGCAATGCCCCAGCAACATTTGAGAGGCTGGTGGAAAGAGAGCTGGAAGGCCTACAATGGAGAATAGCCCTAGTGTACCTGGATGATGTCATTCTATTTGCAACTTCTTTTGATGAGGAAATGTCCCGGCTAGAGGAAGTATTCAAGCGTTTGAAAGCAGCAAACCTCAAACTCCATCCTAAGAAATGCCACTTGTTCCAGAAAGATATGCTTTACTTGGGTCACATTGTAAGTGAGCATGGTGTGCGAACTGATCCTGACAAGGTGAAAGCAGTATGTGATTGGCCAACACCAGACAATGTGGGAAAGTTAAGAAGTTTATTGGGACTCTGTACCTATTACCGGAAGTTTGTGAAGGACTTTGCAACTATAGCTGCTCCACTACATGATTTAACAAAAAAGGCCAGAAGTTTGAATGAACAGTTTCTTGCCAACATGCTTTCAAGACATTGAAAGAAAAATTGGCCTCAGCTCCACTTTTAAAGCTTCCAAATCCCTCACTGCCATACATACTGGATTGTGATGTTAGTTATGTCGGAATTGGAGGACTGTTGTCTCAGAAATTGGATGAAAACGAACATGTGGTGGCCTAATTTAGTAGGGACCTGAGTAGACCAGAGAGGAACTACTGTGTAACACGGAGGGAACTCCTTGCTATAGTAAAGAGTCCTACATATTTGCATCCTTACCACTATGGGGCGAGGTTTACCATCAAGACAGACCATGCTGCGTTATGCTGGTTAAGATCATTAAAGAACCCAGAGAGACAACTGGCACGTTGGATTGAAAAGATAGACCAGTATAATTATGATATTGAATACAGAGAAGGAAAATCTCATGAAAATGCTGACAGATTGAGCCAAAGACCCTGCAAAAATTGCTGCCAAAAGAGAGGTTGAACTAACCAGGTGCCAGCGAGCCGAAGTCAAAGTGACTGAAGGAGTTGATGATTGTGAAATGGAACCAGGTATAGATATTAAAGCACAGCGGGAGAAAGACCAAGATTTGAAGCCAATAACTGATTTTCTA